CCTTTTATGATTACTGCTCTTCTGTTCCCAGTTTGAGAAGTATTTTACTAACTCAGTCATAAGGATATTTTCCTGCATTTACTTCTGCACAGCTGCTCTTTTACTTTTCACTTTGGAGCTACAATCCATCTGAAACTTGTTTTTATATGTGGTGGCGGGGGTAGAGGTCAAAATTAACATTTTCCATGCAGGTATACAATCTATCCAACATCATTTATTAAAAAGACCATCTTTTCCCCTCCCCCTTGGATTGCGGTGGTACCCTTGTGATAAATCAGAAGGTCAGATTATTTGAGAGTCTATTACTAGACTATCTATCCTATTCCATTGTTCCATTGAACACCAAATACTCGTAGTGAAAGTGGATTTATAGTGAATCTTGGCATCTGATGGTACATGTCTTCTACTTTTGTTCTTCAAAATTGTTGCTGTAATTCTAGATCCTTGGCATTTTCATATACGTTCTTAAATAAGCTATAAGCTGCTAAGGATGGTGTCTTCAAATCTCCAACGATAATTGTGGATCAGTCTTTTATTTTTATTAATATTTGTTTTACATATCTTGAAGGTAGATTATTCAGTGAATATAAATTTAGGGTTGTTATATCTTCTTGTTGAGTTGACACTTTTATCAATATCAAGTATCCTCTATCTCTGGTAATGTTTTTTGTCATAAATTCTGTTTTTTCTGATATTAATATAGCCAAAACAATTTTCTTTTGGTTAGGGTCTACATGGTGTGATAGGTAGAATTCTAAATTGGTCCCTAGATTCCCAGCCCCTAGTATACATGCAGTTCCCAGTTATTCAATCAAACACTAGGTGCTTTTGTGAAGGAATTTTGCAAATATGATTAAGCTCCCAAATCAGTGGACTCAAAATAGTGGAATTACGTTCAGAGGGCCAGACCAAATCAGTTGAGACCTTAAGAAGTATGGAGCTCTTCCTAGTGAAAGAGATTTGGCATATGAGAGGGAGTCAACATGAGTTGGCATGAGATGACATTCTCCATCGCTGGCTTTGGAGGTAGAGGAGCTATGTGACAAGGAAGGTGGGCATCACTTAGGAGCTGAGAGCAGTTTGT